TGTCTGTGGATAAGTTCGACAAAGTCAATGATAGCTTCGGCGGCTTCATATTTGTTACGTAAGAATCTGACCCAGGAGACTCGTGTTTTACCATCAATAAAGGTGATGTAGTAATACTTGCCATTTAAAGAGGGAACAGAGAATTTTCCGGAAAGATCTGAGTGAAGAATTTCAAAAACGTTACAGGGATCCTCACGGATTAGATCGGAAACAATATGCTTGGACTTAGCTTTTTTGCATGCGGGACAGTGAAAGGTCTTGGTTAGTGAAGGAAAGTTGTGACTGTCTGTATATAGTTGAGAAGGGTCTCTGATGTTCGTTACACCGGGGTGTCCTAAAGCTTCATGAAATTCACGATAGGAGGAGAAACGAGCTTTTATTTCTTCTAACATAATTACGATCGACCTTTCCCTTGCTGTTGCCCACAGAACCTCTTGCCCATTTTTATCCCCTATGAATGTATTGTCGCCTTTAGAAAATAATTCATATCCCATCTCCCTTAATTTTTCCCATGAAAACAACCTAGTCTGTTCAAAAGAGGGCACCAGAAGAACATCGTGTAGAAGGACATTTCGCGATCGCCCGCCGCTGGTTAAAGCGCGGAGACGAACGGTACCTTTGCCAGTGACTGGGGTGTAGTTGTTGTCGGCGACTTGTACAGTTTTATTTCGTAGGGGTGTAACTGATTCAAAGTCGTCGATGCAGCCAGTCATGTGAGTGGTAGCACCTGTATCAAGGATCCATTCTTTTCGAGTGGATGAAGAAGAGTTGGCCATGAAAGCCCTGTCTGAAAGTTCGTCATCTAGTTCTGAAATTCTTTTTGCATTTCCATTTTGTGAAGCGCTCGTCTTCTTTGCCTCGACTTCCTTCTGTTGTTCTTTATGTTTCTTAAGTTTGAAACAATTCTTGTAGGTGGGCCCCTTGTGATTGAACTTCTTGATTTTGCAACATGAACGTTCTATTGCCTCTTGGGTAGATGCGTAATAGGCTTTGCTTTCAGCTTCACCGACATTTCTATCAGCGGAGAAATCCAATAGCTTTGGTTGTATGTCCTGATATTTGATCAAGTCTTCTGTCGCAAGGTTGTCGACGATGTTGTCCATGGATTTTGGGGGTGAGAGTAGTAAGAACGCGCCTTTGACTTCATCAGATGAGGTAAAATCTCGAAATGCTTGTGCAACGCTGGATTTGGAGGTTAAGGGACCTTTGGCAAAGACGATCCCATGCGTTGGTGAAGTTATTTCGGTGGTCGGCTACGTTCTCATTTTCTTGAAGCTCGAGGTCGACAATGTTTTGTAGTAAAGACAGGGTTGTTGATAGTGTTTTCCTGTCGAAGCGAGCCTTAATGTTGGCCCAAGCATCTCTGGCAGTTTGCTCGCTGGTGATCATTTTCCGCAAGGAACAATCGACGGCAGACACCAGATATCCCCTGAGCAGTTTGTTCGCAGTATTCCACTCTTCCCAGTCGGGAGAAATCCTCTCTAGTTTAGTGACTTCTCCAGTTAGTACTTCCTTCAGATCCATCATGTCAAATCCTATTCCACAGGTTCTGGCCCAAACTTGATAGTTTTCACTACCACTTAAGACGGGATAATTATGCAGATTGGCTGTTGTGACGCCTTTGATAGTAAAGGCGGACCGAATGGTTTTTTCTCTTCGTTGGACATGATTGTGATGCTTGATGGATGGAAGAAAGTTGGTTGATTTAGGAAGTTTTTTGGTGGATGCGAGAATTGTTTGCAGGCTTAAGGCCACCGGGCTCATAACCTATTGAAGGATGGTGGTGTATATGGTAGTATACAGATGGTATCTTCGATTGAATGGTTGTGACTACTCAGATGGCTTAGAATATACTTGGTTATGGCAATAAATGTTATGTTATGTTACAGATTATTTACATAATAATTAACCAATCCCACATACATCCAGATAGCGCCGTAGCTTGTCTCTTTCGGGAGTGATCTACGGGTGAGTGTAGCAATCAGTGGTATCTAATTTATCATTAACCAGTTTCTGTTTCCCTGGCTCTGCATGCTTCAAGACGTAGATGACGATTTACTACTGATGTGAAAAGCGCAGTCATGACAGTCTCTACATGACACAATTTAACCCTAGGGTCCCTCTCAAATGTCTCAAGCTCCTCAATATTGACAGAAAGTTCATGTGGGTCGGATTGCGGTGGAGGCCTTTCATGCCTTTCGTTATTCTTCGTTGCGTTACTCTATAGGTTTTGAATTGAAGGTCGTGAGAAGAGTCCTTCAGATTTTGAATATCCAGTAGGGCATTTTCCAACCTTCGTTTCAATTCTTCATTTTCATTTGTGAGGTTCATTTCTTTCTTGCTCCAAAGCTCTTCGATCATCTTGTGCTCCGCAAGGCTTTCTGATAAAATTATTTCATTGTGTCTAAGTGTCGGAATTTCGTGGACTAAATTTTATTTTTGGTTCTGCTCGCTGGTGTCCCAAAATTTTGCGTAGTCTTCGGGTGAAGAGATGATATTCAACGTGGGAAGCTTTGCACGTAGTTCAGCCATGCTGAAGTCTATGAATTATATCAGGTAGTCAATATGTAACAGTACCAGGCACGGTCAAGGCCAATATGTGGTTATTAAGGGATTAAATTGACTGTAAAGAGATAAGGAATTGTGCGCAAGGCACCTAAATATAAATACTTTCTACGCTAGCCTCATTGCCTTTGATAATCCCTGACAGAACCTCTAGGAAATAAACAAATTAAATTTACTTGTCACCACTATTTTTGAGATGATTGTTGGATCCTCCCCGGTGATTGAGACCTTTTAGATATCAACTTTATTGTTGGTCCCAGCTATATCTATCATTTCCCATGCTGGCATTATATCAGAGATTCTTTCGCGGCATGTGAAGATGGAAGCACTGTGCAAGATAGGGCCTAGGTTAGAAAGAACATAATACGCTAGATACTCTTATTCTCATTAAGGCCAGCATTAACGAATTCTTCACCTTCCAGTGGTGCCGGTGTAATCTCTTAGTATGCTCTGCATATCTGGAATAGCCACGAAGAATCGCATCCGAATCGAAGTCGAAAGCAAACATATACATATCTCCATTTGACGACTTCTCAATCATGCAGCACTCGCCATTATCTTCTTAGTCCTCAACCCTCTTTTTTAACGCAAATCGCCTCGCCTCAATGACTAATAAAGGCGTCACCCCAATTGCAAACAGGAGCTTGCCTCATTGATTACTGGCCATCACTAACTACAAATTTACGACGATACATATACCCGCAAGGAGGAAATTAAGTCATAATATACAAAGTTGGGGTCTTGATTTATGGGGGACTGATGCTCTAATGGGGTTATACATCTTGAGGAAGGACAGGCGGCTGAGATGTGGAACAAGAGGATGAACAGTTCTCTGAAGATCATGCTGGGACTGATATTTTGGAGGAGTTTTCAACTTTATTTTTTTGTGGGCGCCGGACCGAGATTTTGGCAAATAAGCTAGGGGGGCTTCTATTGTCGATGAGTCCAGGGCTCTTCTTAGAGCCCTGGACGACACAAAAGAAGTTGGGCTAAGCTACCATCTAGCAACCACGCTGCGTCAAGACTTTTCTGACACTCCAGCACGACCTTTGGGAAGGAGACTTGAAAGGCAGAGTGTCAATTTTCTGAGGTACACACAAGTCTGCAGCGCCCAGCTGGCCGACCTCTTGGAACGCTTCAGAAGGGTCACAATGTCTTCGGATTTAGTCCTAATGTCGGTATTAGGAGAGCCCCGCACCCAATGGTTTTTGCGATTTTTTCCGGCTGTCATACACCCGCAAATGGCCATCTTTTTGTTGGCTAGAGAGGGGAGACAATGAAGGGCAAAGGGCTCCTTAAAGTATATGATCTAATGAGGACTTGTGAGGGGTGCTGTGTGGGAGGTACTGGAGGGGATATGCTACTGATATAGGTGTCCTTGACCTGTAGCTAGAGAGGTCCTTCATGTTCTACATAGTCAGACTCGGACTGTATAATTAAATTAATAGATTATGTTAAACTTTAATGCAGCAGATTGATTGTTGTGTAGTAACTTCATTACTAAAAGATTGTCTCTAATTATTACAAAACCTACTGTCTCGCGATGCTCGCCTAGTATACTAATCTTTACCTTCACGTGATGCTAAAGACTTGGTCTGATACAACCTATTTAAACAAATAAAGTATCCAACGACGGGAATTCGCTGGATCCTAGGCTCACCTGAAGGAGCCATAGCTTTTAGTAAATGGCTTCATGAAACGAGCTTTTCTGAAGCATGCAACAACAAGACTAACTAGTACCCCAAATTATTTGCACTTGGCCTGTATTTGCTAGAGCTAAATTTAGAAGACTTCTGGTCTAGGTGATGGATAACTTTCCTTTTCATATATATAACTATCTTCTCTATTGTATTAGAATACAAAAGTCTCAGCTCAAGAGTACTTTTGGCTTCTTTCGATAGTTCGGGGTGCATGGCAGGTAGGCCTTGGCCCATTTATAACATGTCGGGCTTATTGAAAGGTATTGGCACGTCGGGTAGTTTATGTAGACTGAGCTGGCCAACATGAGACCTTAAGGTTGTTTTGTTTTTTTTGTTTTGTTTATCTTTGTCCTAAGCTAAAGCTATGTTTTCCACATTGGGTCAAGGACAGGCGGAGCCGGCAGGGTTCCCTGTAATCTTTCCTACAGCCTAACTCGTTCCAACCTCGTGAATCGCTACCAAAAGTGCAGCTGATTAAACAGAGACGAAAAATTAAGAAAATCAAAACAACTCCGAAAAAACCAGAAGATTCCTCCATGTTAGACCCAGTCAATGTGCTCCTCACACATTCTCTCGTCTGTCACACCTTCCAAATGACAAATTTACTCCTTCTATGCTGAGAGCGAAAGATGAGTTAGCAGGCACCTTTGTAATGGATATGTAACATATTCCACGTGACTAACTATTACGTAACACAAGTATATATACATAGTTAGAACACTTAATATAAACTTCATGCTTCTGCACTACAGGTTATGGCCCTATATAACTTCCGCTGCACTACGTCACTCTAATTCAAGACATTTTTCTCTTGTGCTTCCATCTTTGCCCTACCTTTCTCACGTACGCGCAGCAACTCACGCACTCGAAATGTCAGAATTACTAAAGCCCTCTATCGAGGCAAAGCCTACATCTAATGACACTATTGTGCCTGATTATGTGCAAATAAATAACATCATATTTGCTACATCAGACGATGTCAAAACTTCCTTAAAGGAAGTCCAAAGAAAAACAGAAGTTTGGACACTGACAGAACGACTCGGTAACATTGAGAAAATATGTACTATTCCGAAACTAACATCATCGAACTGGAACTCCTACTTTGAATCAATAAAACGGCTAATTTCTGTCACAGAAACAGCCTGCGTTTTCCTTCCTGTTACACCATCTACTAAGGCTATCATAATATGGTCTGCGTGGTGGGCTGCTAAATTAAAAGAATCAGCTTCACACATCAAGATAAATGACAATGAAACTCCTCTCTTTGTTTTAACCACCATCGTCAGTCAAACACAGGCGGCGATGCGCTCAAACTTAATTGAAATCATTAATAGATTTTGGACTTTTCAGCCCAGCAACAACATGTCGCTATCGAAGTTTTTTGTAGAATATGAAATACGTCTAAATGAGTTCAAGCAAAATAACACGATTACTCCGGAATTGAAACGTCAAATGAAGTACTTACTATTAAGTAGTATACAAAAATTGGACTCTAACCTTGCAATTCGATGTCGAAACTGTTCGTTTGAAGAGCTTCTTGCTGAATGTTATCAATACAAAAGATGCTACTCTATTCTTCCCCAAATGTAACAAACATGAACTCACAGCATCATCAGATAGCAGTTGGGGAAATTCCACTTCTCCAAAAGGAACCTCGGGGATATTCTTCTTTATTAATGGCACTCCGATTGCATGGTGGTCTAAGAAACAATCTGTCACTGCCCAAAGTACTTGTGAAGCAGAATATACCGCTCTCACAACCCTATCTGTTGCTGCGCAGTGGATTAAGCCTTTGTATGAAGAACTATTTGAAATAAAAATTTCACCCATTACAACAGAAATTGATAACACTGCCGCAATGATTACCGCTAACTCAAATAAAATATCTGCAAGGAATCGACATTTTCTAATGCGACAATCAACAGTTAGAGATTCGATTCAAAATGGGTTGATAAAATTAAAATATACTCCTACAGACATTTGCAAAGCAGATGGCTTGACAAAATCATTGCAACGTCTAAAACATTCATCATTCTGTAATCAAATTAATTTAGATCTAAAGCATTCAGTTTCTGGGGGGGTGTAATGGATATGTAACATATTCCACGTGACTAACTATTACGTAACACAAGTATATATACATAGTTAGAACACTTAATATAAACTTCATGCTTCTGCACTACAACCTTTGATCCAGCATGTATCCTGCTAATTGTTAGTGGATGCCCCAGAAGGGGACATTGTCGAGGTTGCTGTGTCCTCAAACTTCTTCTTCAGATCCCAGCACTCCGAAACCTGTTGCCTCAACCATTGCGACATCCTTCGCCGCGGCGACGATCGCCTCCTCGGCCTTTTTGGCTGCAGCCCTAGCTCGAGCCGCCTCCGCGAACTTCCCTTGCTCGAGGTGGCGTATCCATGCGAGCTGCTCTTTTGTCACCGGTCCGGATTTTTTGGGTCTGACTTTGCAGTCCCGAGAATCCGATCGGTGGGGTCCCCCACAGTTGCGACACTTAGTGAGGGCCTTGCACTCGGCTTCCGAGTGCATGTTGGAGCCGCAGTTCCAGCAGGCTGGAGTGCGGGAGCAACCACGAGTGGCGTGGAAGCCTAAACAGCGTTTACACTGTTCAATTTGGAGACGAGGCTTGTGAATGGCTGCCATACCAGACTCGTCGAAGAGGCGGAAGCCGGCACGAGGGGCGTTGTCCCGTGTGAAAAGGGCATGCCAGTTTTGATACGGTGCCCCAGGTCGACATGTCCCATGAGGTCGGACCTGGATTGGTATCGCGCCGGTCGTACCGAGAATCTTGGCAGAGACCCAGCTTGCATCGACCGCCCTGGGACCGCACACTGTAACTATACTTACAGGTACGTTCGGTATCTGTAAGGCGACAAGATCCGAAGATGCCTCGAGTTTGACGTTATGACTCGCCAGCTTCGAAGAGCCATCTAAAGTCTCTTGTCGTATTTTTTCGTTCTTTGCTAGCATAGCAAAGCCCGTTCTCACTCGGTGGAGTGAGGTTATTTCTTGGTTAAAGTAGCTGAATGTATACTCTAACTTAGTTCTCACGCTGCTTGTGGACAGTTTTCGCCACGGGTGGTCCTTTTCAAGGCGAAGGAACAGTCGCTTATCGACTTTCGCCTTGGGGTTTTCTTTTTGTTGGGCTTTGGCCGCAGGTCGCGGCACAGCCTTCACAGTTGGGCCTGCTTTTTGTTGCAGTCCGTTTCTGACCACCGTGGCCCAGGTGCTTTTGACAGGCAGAGCTGGGACGGTGGGTATTGTTTGTCTCCTGGCGTCGGGAGCCCTTGGGAGAGGGTTTGTCGGGCGAGGAGGGAGGACAGGTGGCGTAGTGGCCGGGCCCATGGCCATGTATTGCGCAATGGCGGCGCGTAGGTAGACTCTCATGGAGTCTACGAATTGTCTATTTGACCCGTTGGTCAAAGGGAGGAGGGTGGCTTCGACGCCAGAGATGGCGGCGGAGCAGAGGGCCAGATTTGCCGCTATTTCGGCGGCGCGTCGTTTTTCGGCTTCGACAATTGGTCGAAGTTCGAGGGGACACTCTACTTTCGTGGCAGCTTTGGGCTGCGACGTTGATGTTGACGCTGCCATGGGTGCAGCGTTTTCCGACGGTTTTGAGGTGGCCATAGGAGGTGTGGACGATTCTCCAATCCCGTGGGGGACGGAGGGTGGTTGTGGAATTTCCCCAACAATTTCGACTGACCCGATCATGTCAGTATCGGGTTTAGTGACGGCGGGGAGGGCTTTTTCCTTCCCTTTGATGGAGACCTTGCTCATCTCCGCGCATTTCGGAGACTGGGCATGGCCAGGTAGTTGCTCGAGAGCTTTCGGGTGGACACTCGTGTTGTCCAACTTGGCGTTGGGACGCTTTTTTCGAACAGGTGGCATGGTGAAAATGCCAGTGACTCGATCTCAATTTTTTGATATAATGCGACGAGCGCGAAAGGGAGGGAGAGGGAGAAAAGCTGAAGATACGAAAATTCGAATTTCAAAAAATTGTGTGTGTTGTGAGCTAGCACGACTTTAAATAATTATAATAAAAAGAATTAAAAAAATAACAGATAATGTATCATTTTCAAACATTCATCACATCATCGAGAAAAAAAATCAGCAGTCACAAGTTTATTATAAAGCCACACAATTTAGAATGCCTCCAGGGAGGCGGAAGAAAGCTCATGGGGTATCCCTGCCCCTGAAGCCAGCTGTTTCTGGCACATCCAAAATCGTGAAAAATCGCGATTCCAACCTTAATAAGACAGCCGTCCTCGACGCTCATACTAACAGAGGCACGAGGAAGACGGGTCATTTGAATGAGAATCACCAGATAGAGAACATCGAGATAGATTCCGAATCAGAACTATCATCAGCCCCCGAAGACGAGACAATGCTAGATGACACAAGCTCATATCCTTCCAGTGACCCGACACCCAATGTACAGGAGTCACAAACCAACCCAGTATCAACCCCTAGAAAGTCTCTATAAGGTTTTGAACATTCTATATATGCAGCTCCTACATCTGAAGCTCTTCCTCTGAATGATGATGCAATAAGCCCACCAGCCACAAGTAATTGGCATGTTACTTCCCATCTCTCATCAAAGTCTATCAACGAATATGCTGCATCGCTAACAGCCTGGCAGAACGCAGGAGCTAAATACCTAAATAACCTCCCTCCATCCATCGCCGCAAATCTACGAGCAATCACTACTCGGAGCGCTGCGCGCGTCATCGCTGGCTTGCCAGTCTTTGATGAGCCTAGTTGCCAAAAAAATACCTCCATCAATACTGCCAGCAACACAAGTAGGCCAGATCGAAGTGCTCAAGTGGAAAGAGTAGCCCCTATAGTGGCTCCCTCATACGCTGTAGTAGCCCATAGAGGCAACAACGCCCCAAGCCCTACCAACAAAACGCCAGCTCCGAAGCCTAGCTCTCAAAAACCTGACGCAAGAGTCATCATCCGACTACCTGTAGAACACCCCCTCCGTTGCGAAGATCCACTCCTTGTTAGAACAAAGCTACGCCGCCTTCTAAGCCGCCTGGAACTTATCAAAGATATCCGGATGGTACCCACGGGGCTAGCCCTAGTGGCTCCAACTCCCTCTCAAGCTCAGGAACTACTCGAAGCAGCGAAGGATCTGAAACCAATCACCGGCGAAGCACCAATGGAGAGGCAGTAAAAAAGAACAAACTACCTACTAGGCCCAATACCTAAATACGGATACAGTTCTTGGGGAAACCGCGAGGCCCTTACATACAAAGAAATTAGACAAGAACTTGAAGCAGAGAAAATAAGCAATGATTCTATATACGCAATGTCCTGGACTCGCCGGTCCAACCAATCACCAAGCAGTGATGGTACACTTCGCCTAGTACTTAAAGCCTCATGCGTTAAGAGTCTTCCAAAAATGTACGTCTATTTGCAAGAGCCGCACGACTTAGACCTGTCGAGGACCGACCACAGATTCCCTCCTGCTCTAAATGTCACGGATTTCATAATATTAATGCATGCACCCGAAGACCTCGCTGCGGACTATGCGCTGCCGAACCACATGATAGGGTGTGTAGTACCCCTTATAAATGTCTAAATTGTCGTGGCCCACATACGACAACTACGGATAGCTGTCCAGCACGACCCCGTCGGGAGAATGGAGTCTTTATAAGGCCCAACAAAGAAGGATTACAATAAATCCAGCAACAAGGCCACAAAGCTTGGCAGGCCAAAAACCCCCCTCTAATACCTCAAGCGCCTGAAAATCAAAGCGCTGTACCAACTCCCGACATCGAAATTGAGTGTTGCGGGAGCAAAACCACCTCAATACAGGAAGTTCCAGCGTAACTTTCAACTCCCACCACCGAAATACAACTTTAATGGTCTGCGGCCGAGGATTTAAAAGCAGACAGCCTCTAGCCTCTGCATATTTCAGGCCAATGTCGGCAAATCTGGCCCAGCACACGACTCTGCACTTGCTCTCGCTTCCCAATCAGGAGCCGATATGATCCTTATCCAAGAGCCTTGGATCTTCTCGGACTTCTCCCGTAAAATCACAAAAACCCACCCAGGATTCCAAACTTTTTCTCCTATCTCCGAATGGATAGCCCGGCCTCAAGTTATGACTTATGTTCGCAAAGGTTGCAGTCTCTCTCCCGTTCAGCCAAAAGCTTATTCGCGCGATCTAATTTGTGTCTGAATTCACCGTCGAGGGAGGCGCATGGTTAATTGTTGGAATATATACAACGCCCCAGCAGGCTCCTCTGATGCAGGAGAAGGCCTAAGAGTTCTCTTTACAATAACCGAAAGCCCTAACATCCTTGCAGGGGATTTTAATATACACCATTCGGCCTGGGATCCGGCGGCCAGACAAGACTCGGCCCATGGAGACTCTCTACTGGTCTGGTCTTTAAATAAAGGCCTATCTCTTTTGAACCCATATGGAATCCCAACACATGACGCAGGAGGAGTACTGGATCTCTGCTTTGTGCAATCCAGGTCTCACCCCTCTTGTAAAATCCGCCAAGATCTCGATGCTGGCTCAGACCATAGAACTCTTGTAATGCACATTCCAGATGACGGCCCT